TCAGGCCAGACAGTCGGGCTCGAATGTGGCCCGGAATTTGCGTTCTCAAGTCGCAGGAGCTCCAGATGTCAACCACAGAGACGAAATGATCGCAAGCCCGGCTGGAGTGGCGCGGGGCGTCGTCCTGCTGGGCTCCTCCCCCCACAACAGCTCACTCAAACCCGGACGGGGTCTCGGGTCTTCCCAGACCCTAACACGCGCACGCTGCACACCCGCCGGGTCCCCGCGCCGCGCGCCCACCCCCCGCTCGGCCGCAGTCCCCTCCTCGCCAGCTGCCCGCGCGCACCTGCTCGTACCGTCGCCCCCTAACCCCCTTCACGCCCCCGCCCCGACCCTGGGCCCTCCCGCCCCGCGCTCACCGGCCGCGCTCCGGCCGCTCCGGGCCCCGCGCCCCGGGCCGCGCGCTCCTGGGCGGCCCCGGCCCCGGCCCCGGCCCCGGCCCCGGCTCCGGCTCTGGCCCGGCCCCGCCGCTTCCCGTCACGTGGGTGGCCGGGGGCGGGAGCGCCGGTCCCCGTCCGGCCTGCGCCCCGCGTCGGCTGCAGACCCCGCCCTGGGCCGGGCCGCGGGGTGGGGCGCCCCTCCGGCCTCGAATGCCCCGGGTTTGGGGGGCACGGAGCGCCTGCCTCGGGGCTCACGGGGGGCGGTGGGCGGGGAGACGCGCCGATCTTCGCGGCGCACGAGCGGAGCCTGCCGGGCCCTGGGCGGGGTCCGTAACGCGGCAAGGCTGCAGCTGCCGGGGCCGCGCTTTCTCCTCCCCCCGGCCTGCTGGACACTCTCCCCGCCCTGTTTCTAGCACCGCGAAGGCGCTGGGCAGTGTACTTGCTGAACGAACAAGTGAATCCACCCATCCCTCCATCCTGGGAAAGGCTGGACCGCACGGCCACCTGACGTAGTTGGACTGGAGGAGTGAGTGGATGGCGGCTGGTGGCCCCCGTAGGGCTGAAATGGACAGCCGGGCACGAGCCGCCTGCCGCCCGCCCCAGGCCCACAGCTAGACCCGAGCCCCAGGGGCGGTGAATTAGCAGGGTGTCCTTACTGAAGCAGGGAGTCCAGGACAATTTACCCACTCCTTCAGGAGCGCCCATCGATAGCTATCCCTTTGGGTAAAGCTACAGCGCAGAGTCCTAGGTTAGGATGAATCCATGAGCCTGTCTTCCAACATATAGTCAAACTCCAGTTCCACAGAGAAAAAGAAAATTCCCTCTAGGGCCGTCAGTGCGCAATTATCAGCATATAAAAAGCCCAATTTTCTCAATGATTTTCCTGACTTTAAGAGGCCCCCAAGACCTCAGCTTTCCTCCAGCCCCTGGAGAATATAAAACAAAGATGTCCCCAATCTAGAGGCAGATACCAGCTACTACTCTGCAGCCTTCTGTTTCTAAGGGAGGAAAACAAATGACCCCCAAAAAGTCAAATGAAGCAAATAACAAATCATCAGGAATTAATTTTCTGTGACCTCTTACGTCCTTCCCTTCTTGCCACACACGCCCCACCTGCCCCAGATAGAGTTTCAGTCCTGACCCTGTGGATCCAGCATCACTGGCCCAACCTCCAGGTGGGTAAAGGATTTCCAGAGTGTACAGCTACCTGTGCTTCAAGGGCAAGTGCAGGTCTGGTGGAGCCAGGGAGCTGGCTCCACCCGAGTTTTCATCCATCTCATTTTGCCCAGGCCCATGGAGAATGTGACTGGTCATCAGCTCATCACTGGCCCACTTGGCCTAGAATCCACTCTGCCTTGTCGTTTCAGCGCTCTGCCATGACCTGGCATGAGATTAGGTAGAGGTGACACCTACTGACTGCCAGCCAGACAACAGGGCTAAGGGGCTTACCGTGGTGACCTCATTTAAGCAATATCCTTATGAAGTAGGCACTACTGATTTCTACATTGTACACAGGAATTAACAGACACAAAGTGAAAGACTTCCCCTAAAGTCCACAGAGTGAGCAAGGCTAAGAACTCAACAACACGGTGAGATTTTTTATACATAAAATTAAGCTCTGGTGGTTGAATAGTTTATGGAACATTTGTGTTCTGCTTTAAACAATCTAGGAGTGAAAATGTGTTAACAAAGAGGAGCAAAAGAAGATAATTCAGAAATAGTTATTTCCTTTTTGAAAAAATTTGTCATAAGATTCTTAAAATGGCAAACTCCACACGTGCACGTTATTCCACTTACAAACCTTCTTCCTGAAGTTTTTGAGAAGTCTATTTCACATGTCTGGCAGCTGTATGTAACTAATCCATAAACATGCAAAGATCTGCACCTGGCTAATTCTATACTCCTCATGTTTTGATTTGTCATATTTAAGAATATCAAAAGAAAATTTTCGAAGGATTATCAATTAACTTCATTTATGATACTTATTTATTTTTGGCTGTGCTGAGTCTTCCTTGCCGCACAAAGGCTTTCTCTGGTTGCAGCAAGCAGAGGCTCTTCTCTAGTTGTGGTGTGCGAGCTTCTCATTGCAGTGGCTTCTCTTGTGGAGAACCAGCTCTAAGCTCATGGGCTTCAGTAATTGCAGCACATGGGCTAAGTACTTGCATCCCACAGGCTCTGGAGTGTGGGCTTAGTAGCTGTGGAAGAAAGGCTTTAGTTGCTTGCAGCATGTGGCATCTTTCCAGACCAAGGATCAAACCCGTGTACCCTGCATTGGCAGGCAGATTCCCATCCACTGTACTACCAGGGAAGTCATTTATTACCCTTATTAAATATCCCTTTGGTCCATACTAAACAAGGTATTCTATAGAGTGTGAAAAAGGTGGCCTCAAAGATTAATGAAGATTAAACATTGAATAGATACAACTGAATTCTTAATATTATACTGCTAATGAGAGAAATCAACATCCCAGGTTCTCATTATATATCTTGTTCATGATTCATTCATTCAGTAGACACTGAATACTTAGTAAGTGTAAGCACTGTGTTACTCGGGCCGAGGCAGGGGTTGGACTCTGTTCCAGAGGAGCTCATAACCAGTGAGGTGACGACACCAAGCAGGGCAGTGTTTGTTGGTTTTCCTCAGCTTTGTTCTTGTCAACTACAGGCCCCAAATAAAAATGTTAATGGAAACCTCATGATCTCTGAAGGGGAAATTCTCATAATAAAACCTGAGCATTTTCGATTACTATATAATACAGATGACTTCCCTGGTGGCTCAGACGGTAAAGCATCTGCCTACTATACGGGAGACCTGGTTTCAATCCCTGGGTCAAGAAGATCCTCTGGAGAAGGAAATGGCAACCCACTCCAGTACTCTTGGCTGGAAAATCCCATGGACAGAGGAGCGTGGTAAGCTACAGTCCATGGGGTTCCAAAGAGTCGGACACGACTGAGCGACTTCAGTTTCAGGTCATAATACAGGTGATACTGTTGTAGCAGGAATGAACTTCAGTCTACAAACTCAAATGTGGAACAATTGGAATATTTTTTCTGTAACTGAACTTTATTTTTACTTTAAGGCCCACTCAGCTGCCAGGGACAATAATCTTATCATGGAAGGCCAGCGCCCTTCCTCAGGGCTGTGTCTGGTTAGCGAATGTGTAAGGTGCCAGGACGAGGAGAAGCAGGAGATGTCTGGTCCTCACGTCTCTGGTCCAGCAGGAATTCAGAGGTGCTCTTTGTCCACTCTGGCGTTTGGTTTTCAGTCTTGTTGTTTAGGTACTGATAAGCCTGGCTTGAAGCCTCCAATCAGGGTGTCTACCTGGCTTACAGGTCAGATGCCTGTCGCTTCCTTGCTTCGATGTGGCAGAAATCTCTTTCAGGTGGCCCTTCTGCCTGTACACATTCGAAACATCACCTCAAAATCGTTAGAAAGGCAAATTATCCCCCACCCTACTTCTGCATTAGAAACTGATCTAAACACAGCAGACCACCTGTTTTCAGAGGCTCCTCTCTCTAAGGCTCTTCCTAGGATGGAGTAAGGGCAGGCATTACCGAAGACCCTGTCTCTCCTTCCCCTGGAGTGGGGAGGGTGCTGAAACCTTATCAACACTTCCTCCTCTCTAACTCTTGATTTTATTCGTTTGCTCTGGGGACACTCCTTCTATCCTGAAACGTTTGTTTCAGAGACACCAAGAGTTATCTGAAAGGATTTAGTTTTAACCAGGGAAGTACTTCTAGTTTTAAACTGGAAAATACGAAAAGGAAAAAAAAAAGCACAGGTCTTACCTGCCATAAAACGTTTTTGCTGATGAAGAGCTTGAGGCATCAGGTTAACTCCTGAAAACCACGGGGGGTGGGGGGTGGGGGGAACCCAAGAACCGGTAGCCACATTTCCAGGTAGCTAGAGGTAACTGGGGAGGGATTTGTCCTACTTTGGCTCCATCTTCACAACACTGTGAGGGGCGTTATTCCCATCTCAGAGCTGGGGAAACTAACAAATGTGCGGCTGTGTCACCGGCACTTCTCGGCTGCCCTTACTTTCATGTGTGAGTAGGTTCATTCCGAGTATTACTTCGGGAACAAATACTTGAGTGCCTACTATGTGCCAGGCGCTGGGTTCCAGGGAATTAAAGCCTCTGGCCTTACATCATATTGAAGGAACATTAGGAAACAAACAATAAAAAGGCTCAAAAAACAAAACCAAGAAGCTCTCAAACACTACTCACCATATTTAGACTAACTTCCATCGGCCTCCCTTGCCGTCTTCCCGCGAGGCTGCCCTTGGACTCCCATTGGTCTCTGTCTCTGACGTCATATGAGGCGCGACCAGGCGCGGCCAATTGTGGCTCGTGAACTTCGCCTTTCCTTCTCTTCCGGCCAGACTGGAAACGCCAGTTTCCTCGGCAGGGGGCGCTTTCACTGCTTTATGCCCCCGGGGATATTCTCCGGTTAGAGCCCGCCCAGCACCCTAGCCTGCCCGGAGAGGCGGAGCGCGACGCGCCGCACACACAGAGTGACTACACACCCGTGGCCGCCGCGCCTGCCGTAACGTCACTTCCGGGGCGCTTGCTCGCGGGAGACTTGTGGGTAGCTGGCCGGGGTCTCCTGGCGACGACGATGGCGGGGGATGTGGGCGGTCGCAGCTGCACGGATTCGGAGCTGCTGCTGCACCCGGAGTTGCTGTCCCAGGAGTTCCTTCTCCTCACCCTGGAGCAGGTGCGGCGCGCTGCTGCGGGCGGGCCTGCTTCGGGGAGGCGCTGGGACTTGAGCTCGCCCCGAGTAGTCCTCAGCGGCACCCGACACACCCGCCGCCGCCGTGCCAGCCGCCCGGTCGAGCCGCTCTCCGCCCCGCGCGGACCGGCCGGGTCTCCGCACTCACCTGCCGAGAGAGAGAAGGCCTCGGAGTTCCAGGGACTCCTGGGAGTTAGGAATACTCATTTGGGGTTCCGATAGTTGGGAAAGGGAAGTCCAGACGACCCCCGCGGCCTGGGTGTGATCAGGGGCCTGCCAAGAGGGGTTGGGGAAGCTCGTGGAAGAACGGGAACAAGGGGTGGCGGTCCCCGGCTGCCGGCCTGGAGGGCATCGGAGAAGTCGTCCGTTCTCCACACTCACCGAGTTCAAAGACGGGGAAACTGAGTCTCAGACAGGTGGAGTGACTTCTATGTTCACACCGCCGTTAGATGGTGCAGCCGGAGAACTCAGGGCTCCTGGCTTCTCAAAGCAGCGTTTGCTCTTTTTCAGCTGTTGTGGCTTATGATAGCAGACGAAAAATAAGACCAAAAAAAAAAAAAGTGATGAGTTTTGTCGTACTCTAGAGCACCGGGAACTGTGTTCAGTGTTGTGCGGCACCTTGGATGGGAGGGGAGTTTGGGGGAGAATGGATCTGTGTATATGTGGGGCTGCTTCCATTTGCTTTCCACCTGAAACTATCACAACATTGTTAATCGTCCAGTATAAAATAAAAAAAAATTTTTTTAAGTGATGAGTTTTGTTTAAAGTGGTAGAGAATTGCTGAAAACTTTGGGGGGTTTTAAGTGGCATGTTTTGTTGTTTTCCTTTTGTTTTTCCCCTCAGTACTCTTCTTTCTCTGATTTCCTCAAACCTCACCCCCTCACTCTCCACCCCCTACCCGGGTAGAATTTTTTAGAGGTATCAATTACCTATTTTACCTGTGGTTGTGAAACTTTTTAGGTCCCTCACAATCACCGTAGGGTGTGTGAAAACACAGACTGCAGGGTTCAATGCACAGAGTTTCTGGAAGTGTGGCCTGAAAAGTGCCATTTTTAACAAGTTCTTGCACCTGGTCCAGCAATCACAGTTTGAGAATCGCTTTGCGGTCTGGGTGGTGAACTCCAGTTTAATATAGTTTCCGAAGTAGGGAAACTTGGGGAAGGACATCCCGGGTGAGACCTCCAGCCCGCCCATCTGCTCATGACAGTTACTCTCTAGATACCTTTCTGACAGGATGGAGTAACTGTTATCATTGTTTGCTTTCTTTTTTCTGTCTCCCCATACAGTCCCCCATTTTCAGTTGCATTCATCAGTTAAGATGCTGCTACTGGAAATGGACTTTATGTCTCCTGTGTGGGTCACACTGAGGACACATGACCATTGTCTTTAAGATGAAGCTGGACAGAAAACGTGAAGAGCTTAGCTTTTCTATAGTACTGCTTCTTGCAGCAGCATATAGGATGTTAGGCATGTGTCCAAACATGAAAGTGGTTTTATACTTATTATTTAAGCATTCATGTCTTACCCTGTTAGACAGGCAGTTAAAATAAAGGCTGTTGTTTTGAAATTACTTTTGCTTCCTTTTCCACAGAAGAACATAACTGTTGAAAATGACATGAGAGTAAACAAAGACAGTCTGACTGACCTTTATGTTCAGCATGCAATACCACTGCCTCAGAGAGATTTGCCAAGGAATAGATGGGGAAAAATGATGGAAAAGAAGAGAGAACAACACGAGATAAAAAATGAGACAAAAAGGTACTTTTCTGCAGTTCTGGTTATTGTTTTATATGACTGAACAATCTTGCTTTTCTTTTTTTCCCCAGGTGAATTTACGTAAAAAAATACTCAGCTACTGTTTATTGAGCATCAGTCATTGTGCTGTAGCATAAATAAAACTGACCGAACTCCTTGGTCATATTTGAATTGGGAGAAACACAATAAAAAAGTTAAGTCAAATACAGGGCATGCTACACTGTGGTAAATGCGAAGGAGAAATGGGAAGAGGGATGACAGCTTTGGGTGAAGTAGCCAGGGACAGCCTCACTGAGAAGTGACATTTCAGTGGAGAGACCTGTGGAAAGTAGAGGGTGAGCCAGGTTCTGGGCCAAACATGAGAGCCAGGTCAGGTATGTGTCCACATGATGGCCAGGAGCAGCCTGGAGGCAGGCAGGGCTGAGCAGGGAAGGTGGTGCAGAGGGGTGAGTGTGGGAGGACCTTAGCTCTGCTCTGAGATGAGCAGCCATCGCAGGATTTCGAGCAGTGAGATAATACCGTCTGATGCACATTTTAAGAGGTTTACTCTGGCTGCTATACTGAGACGTGGTTTAAGGTTGGGGGAGGGTGGTGTTCTGTAATCCTGGTAGTAGACATTGGTGATTCTGGGGGAGGTACTGGACTTGCTAAGAAGCATTTTGGGTCTGGTTGTGTTTTGGAGGCAGAGCCAACAAGGTTTATTAAAGTAGAAGGAAACAGTGGAGTCAGATAAGGCCATGAGGTCTGTGAATAAAATAGAATAAAGAGATGGTTGTATTGCTTCCATAAACCCCAGAAAAGTCCAGAAAATTTTAAATTCCAGAAAAATGTTCGTAAAACCACAAGCAGATGAATTTCCTTTTATACATTTAATTAGCATAGTTAGTTAGGACGAAGTATCCTAACATCTCTAAGTGGCCTAATTATTTATTTTCCTGTGTCTTATTTCATCACATGTGGGTGCTATTGATTAATTGCTGAATATTTTTTTGAGAGCCTCACTGTCCTAGGCAGTGTACTACAGACAGTGGGAGAAGATGGAATGAGAGGGCTGCATAAGGAGCACCTTAGCTCTGAGTTAGTAGTTTTAATCTCTAGTGACGAAGAAAGATTCCTGACTGATGGGTGATTATTTCCCACTTCTGAGAATAGCGGAAGAACATAACACCCGTGTCATCTGAGTATAATCTTTTGGCGAACAGGTGTGTGTACAATCTCAATGTTGATTGGAAAACAGCTCAGGATGAGCATATTTCTTAGAAGCTCAGGATGAGCATGTTTCTTAGAAGCTCCTGAGATGGTGCTGATGCTGCTGGTCACTAGTAGCACTCTCAGTAGCAAAGCTGAAGTGTTTTTCCTAATAACTGGTTGTTCAAGTTCTTTCAACATATTTAATTGAAAGTTGTCCCGTCCCCCCCACCGCCGCCGGCCCCAGACGTTTGTTTCACTTAAGGTCTAATTAATACTGAACAAATGAATGCTTTTATTATTTATACTTAGAAATAAGAGTGGAAATTCGGTTTTCAGAAACTAAAAGTGAAGACTTGCTAGTTATAAACTTAAAATTATATAAATGTTACAGTTAGTTTAGGAAATGCCTGAACTTTAAGGACTTTTAATGAGTGGAGTCGGATGTCCTGTTTACTCCTTGTTTGTAAGCTGCCAGTATGGTGGTTTAGTGTAGTTTTATAGTTTGTTAGCCTTTCTAAATAATCAGTGATACATGGGCAGAATAACTGTCAACAGGATGGTAATTTTTAAAAGTTAAAATTTTTTGTTGTTGTTCAGTCAGTGAGTTGTGTCCAACTCTCTGTCCATGGACTGCAGCACACCAGGCTTCCCTTTCCTTCACCATCTCCCTGAGTTTGCTCAAACTCGTCCATTGAGTCAGTGATATCATCCAACCATCTCATCCTCTGTTGTCCCCTTCTCGTGCCCTCAATCTTTCCCAGCATCAGGGTCTTTTCCAGTGAGTTAGTTCTTTACATGAGGTGGCTAAAGTATTGAAGCTTCAGTCCTTCCAATGAATATTCTGGGTTGATTTCTTTTAGGATTGACTGGTTTGATCTCCTTGCTCTCCAAGGGACTCTCAAGAGTTATCCAGCATCACAGTTCAAAAGCATTGGTTCTTCAGCATTCAGCCTTATTTATGGTCCAGTTCTCCCACTGGTACATGACTACTGGAAAAACCATAGCTTCAACTATAGGGACCTTTGTTGGCAAAGTGATGTCTCTGCTTTTTAATATGCTGCCTAGCTTTGTCATAGCTTTTCTTCCAAGGAGCAAGAGTCTTTCAATTTCATGGCTGCAGTTACCATCCATAGTGATTTTGGAGCCCAAGAAAATAGTGTATCACTGTTTCCATTGTTTCCCTATCTCTTTGCCATGAAGTGATGGGACTGGATGCCATGATCTTAGTTTTGTGAATGTTGAGTTTTAAGCCAGCTTTTTAACTTTCCTCTTTCACTTTCATCAAGAAGCTCTGTAGCTCCTCTTCAGTTTCTGCCATTAGAGTGGTATCATCTGCATATCTGAGGTTGTTGATGTTTCTCCCAGCAGTCTTGATTCCAGCTTGTGAGTCATCCAGCCTGGCATTTTGGATGTTGTACTCTGCATATAAGTTAAATAAGCAGGGTGACAATATACAGCCTTGATGTACTCCTTTCCCAATTTTGAACCAGCTCATTTCATGTCCGGTTCTAACTTTTGCTTCTTGTCTTTTATACAGGTTTCTTAGGAGACAGGTAAGGTGGTGTGGTATTCCGATCTTTTTGAGTTTTCCACAGTTAAAGACTTTAGCTTAGTCAATGAAGCAGATGTTTTTTGGAATTCCCTTGCTTTTACTATGATCCAGCGAATGTTGGAAATTTGATCTCTGGTTCCTCTGCGTTTTCTAAATCCAGCTTGTACATCTGGAAATTCTTAGTTCAGGTACTGTTGAAATCTATCTTGAAGGATTTTGAGCACTACCTTGCTAGCATGTGAAATGAGTGCAACTGTGCAGTCGTTTGAACATTCTTTGCCTTTCTTTGGGATTGGAATGAAAACTGACCTTTTCCAGTCTTGTGGCCGCTGCTGAGTTTTCCAAATTTGCTGGCATATTGAGTGCAGCACTTTCAAAGTATTATCTTTTAGGATTTGACAATAGCTCAACTGGAATTCCATCACCTCCACTAGCTTTGTTTGTATAATGCTTCATAAGGCCCACTTGAAGTTTTAGGGTTAATTGATGGATTGATGCTCTAAAAATAACTATATCTTCTGTATACATGAAAGATAACTAAATTTCTGTTGACAAATTTTGTAAAGTTCAAAGCAGCAGAAAGTTATTATTTCATTTAGGGTAAACATAGAAAGCTTCATTTCCAGTAGTCCTGCTTAGATTAGTCAAATCTTTTTTGATCATTTTAGCTTTGAGTTCCAGGGAACTGGCTTGCCATTCAGAGTATTTTTCATGAATGCATCTCTGATTTCAGGAGTAGCCCCGCAGATGGGCTGCGGAAAAGACCTCTCATTGTGTTTGACGGAAGTTCAACAAGCACAAGCATTAAAGTGAAGAAGACGGAGAACGGGGGCAGCGACCGGCTCAGGCCCCCGCCCCAGGCAGGCGCTGCCAGGAACGCCTTTGGGAGACTGTCAGATTCCTCGTCAGGTGTTTCGCCCCTAGTTCTGTCTTCCGCTTTGCCTATGAACAATAAAATGGAACAGAGTAATAATGACACTGAACAGAACCATGGCTTAAGGCACAGGAAAAGTCCTTCGGGCCCTGTGAAGTCGCTGCCTCTGTCGCCGGTGGGAGCCACTCCTGTGAAGTTAAAGCGAGCTGCCCCCAAGGAGGAGGCTGAGGCCACGGTGGGTGCTGCCTGGCGGGCCCTGCGCCAGGCGCGTGCCTGGGGTCCGCCCTGCCCCACGCCGCTCTCCTGCCCGTCAGCAGGAGACGTCTCGTTTCTACATCTCACTCCCCGTGCGTGGCCCTGGGAGCCGTGATAAGCTGATGTTTAAAGTGCTCTCCGTTTATTTCTGCTTAAAATATGTAAAGGCAGTGCCTCTTGGGCACTTTTCCTCACTTGTCTTCTTGGAACTCAAGGAGAGAAGTAGTCCTGGGTTAGCAAGACTCAGAATGTTAACTCCGTTGTGCACAGTTACACGTTTATTAAGCGGCAGTGTAGATATTGACCTTGAGTCTGTCTGTTTTGCACTTAAAATCACACCAGAGTCTTTAGGTTTGCCTCCCCGCCCCTCGCACGCACCTGTCTTTAGGAGGATGGAGGTGGTTTGGGAGACTGCTCTGTTAGGCTCCACTAGACTTACTGTCTGAATGCTTGCATTTCAAATGGCAGATGTGTATAGTTGCCAGAATATATTTTGAGTTTAATTATGAGATTTTATATATATATATGTGCAGTTTTATAGTTTTTACTCCTTGTCTTAGTTCACTCAGGCCGATATTAACAACAGACACCACTGACTGGGTGGCTTCAACGGTAAACATTCATTTCCGACAGCCCTGGAGACTGGAGCCCACACTCAAGGCAGATTCAGTGTCTGGTCAGGGCCCACTTCCTGGTTCAGAGTCAGCTGCTCTCTCTGTCCTCTCCTGGCCGAAGGGGCAGGATGCTCTCTGGGATCTGTTTTATGGGGGCAAGCACTCATACCCTTCATGACATAACCACCTCCCAGAGGCCCCCCTTCAGTACCGCCACCTTGGGGTCAAGATTCAACACAGGGAGTTTGAGGAACATAGGTATTCAGTCCACAGCATTCCTGTATATTCTTCGGCTTTGTTGTCAATTTCATGTTCTGTGTCAAAGAGATCAAGACTCTGAGTAGTTGAGACCTAAATAGCAGACCCCGGAGAGAGAGCTGCAGTGACCTGACCAGCCCACAGTTTCAGTTTCAGTTTCAGACTTATCAGTTCAGACTCCTTTCAGCCACCCCCTGCAGTGGGTGCAATAGCAGTTCCTATTTCACAGGTGAGGAGGAAGAAGCCTCGATAACTTAAACTAGTCTAGGGCTCCAGTCAGTAGGCACCAGTCTGTAGTTGAATTCAGGTCTGCTTGACCCCAGCACATGCACTTCTAATGATGTCACAGCGCTTCTGTCCTCAGTCAGTCACTGCTGGCGGGCGGGGGGAGGGGAGAGGTGCACATGTGAGGAAGGACCTCGAATATTATGGTCAGTGAGCCAGTGAGCACTGAGGATTTTTTTTTCCCCAATCTCTTGGAAAGCATTTTTCTACTCAGAAAACTTTTATTCTTTCAGAGGTGTGACTTTTCTTTTAAATCTTGTACTCAGATCTTAGACTGTGAGGTTGGGGTGCGATGGTCCCTGCAAGGAGGAAGCAGGTCTGGAGTGGCTGTGGTTCTTAGCTCTGAGTGTACCTGAGGGGGGCTTCCAGAAAACCCCACTGGGGTCAGGGTCGCATCCCAGCACCTCCTGAGGGTGCTGGCTGAGTTGGCTCTGGGGTGAGGTCCAAGCCCGGGCGTGTTGTCTGTGCCCTGGGCCAGTCCGACAAACGTCACGGAGAACCACAGCTGTAAACGCAGGACCAGGGCTGACCTTCTTTCCTGCCGCTGGTTGGCGGCAGTGCGCCACCATTCCTGTAGCAGGGGTCAGTCTCTGTAAAACGTGCCTTTGGGGTGTCCTCGGACATTTCTGCAGTGTGCACTGACTTCTGCTCCTGTGTTTTCAGATTAACCTGAAGCCCCCAGAAGCCAAGAGGAAGATACAGCATGTGACATGGCCGTGAAGGAAAGTTTCCAAAAATGTAAATATAACTGTAACTGTAGTTTTTCAAGCAAGTTCGCATATATTGATGGTATTTACAGAGATCTTAATTATTGTGGAATTTTCTTAAGAGGTTTAAATTAGGTTCAAAAAAATAAAGTCCTTTTCTTTCCCTTTCTCCCTCCTTTCCTTCCTGTGGTGGGGGGGTGGGTATGGAATCTTGCCTTTCATGCTCTGATTAGGAAGGAATTTCTTTCTAAACAAGTGGTTTATTTAGTAAAGTCATTTATATTGGCCCTAGTCACATAATTAGCTGCAAGTCTGGTATAAAACATTTGATGATTTATAAGAATTAAATTCAATTGTCTGTTTTGGTCTTTGGGGAAATTTGAGGGTTTTTTTAAACTCAAATACTTTAGAAGTTCACAATTTTTATTTCTTTGCCCAAGCTAAAGAATATAGCAGTTCATCGCAGTATTTTAGTGAACACTGCCAGACGCCTCTTCAGGGTTCCCCATGGAGAGCATGTTTGTAGTGCTGCCAGTTACCTGCTCAGAATATTCAGATAACACTGCTGTCCTTGATGCTCACATTGCCTCTTTTCCTAGAAACCAAAAGGGAACCCAGTGCTTGTTACTGCTCCTTCTTCCCTTTAATTGTGAGTTGATTTATGGAGAGTAGACTGCCCAGCCCTTGGACACTCCTGACACGTAGTCATGGCAGCTCTGACCTCCCTCTTGGCCAGGAATCACTCCTTCCTGGGAGCGTAATCTTTTCCAAGTGAAGCTGACTTTAAGCTCTTCAGGGAAGTGATCCTGTTTTAGGTGGTACCTGACGGCAGGAGACTCGGGATAGGAAGAGGGGGTAGAAGGCCAGAGCCTGAGGATCCAGGAAGCCTGGGAGACACGGGGGGTGCTCAGTGCCACGTGCAGCTGGCAGGAGAGGGGCCGCCGAGTCGGGGGGTCACTCAGAGCAGTGCGGGGCAGTGGGCAGTGCCCACGGAGGCACCAGAGGTTTCCTGGTGTGTGAAGTGGCATTACTCTGGTCCTCTAACAGAAGTCGGCAGGGAGACATGCTAGCCTCCTGCTCGTGAGTTCCCAGGTCTGCTTTCTGCTATGTGCTTCTGACCAAGGTCAAGGGTACGTCACGTTCTTCTCTTGTATGAGTGACCCTCAGGTTGGAGTTTTCCTTCCTAGAGCAGTTCATCCCTTTGTTGATTTGTTAAAACAAGCATTTTAGCTCTTGAATCACCTTACAAAACATTCATTCAGCCTTGAAGATAGGTACTATACCCAAATTTTAACCCTACAGTTTTCAGCCTTTCTGCCTTTATCCCGACTATAAATCCGCACACGTAAGACAGACTGATCAGCACTAAGTGCTGTGTCAGTTGTTAACGTTATGGTAAATTGTTAGAAACGCTTTGTGATCTGCAGGGCTGACATCTGGGTATGTTAAAGGACAACCATAATCCTGTACACTGTGTTACAGGAGATTGTGAAAGTGCAGAGTTTAGGGTAGAATGACAGATTGTATTTTATGTTCTGCTGTGTCTGTTCCCGTTTGCATCTCTCTCCTAGTTAAGAGAGAGTTAGCCATTTGACAGTTTTACGTCAGTGGAAACTTATTTTTAGTTACTCAATAAAGTTAACTTTTAATTTGTATATTTAACTTACAGAGTAGGTTGGTAATAACAGCTGAACTATGTAACATTGTTGCTTCAAATTGAAGTTTATATTATGAACATTCAGCATCAGTGCTCATATAGCAGCATATTTTTGAGCTGTTTTGAGTTTGAAGAGTGGAGAAGCCTCGGCCAAGTACTGCAGGTCACGTTTGCCAAATCTGAGCACAGAGTGGACACGGCTCCACGGCGATGACAGCGGTCCCAGGGGTCGCTTTAGGGGCTTGTGTCCAGGCCTTGACCTGAGCAGCACTCATGTGGACGGCGCCTCGCTCTGTGACGTGGGCCCATCTGGTGGCTTGATGAAGTGAGTGGAGGGTGGGTGGTCAAGTCAGGTGGCTCCCGGTGTAGGCACGTCTGCTTCCTGGGCACGTGGGTGCCTATGCTTCTCCCTCTTGGCTCCCTGTTTTCCTTTTTCTTACTCTCCTCTCCCACAGTTCTACCTTCTCTGCTCCTTCTCCTTCACCCTATAGATCCTGAACTCCAGGCTTACATTTATTTGCAAGTCAGATTGCTTGGCCTGCTGATCACTGGGGCCAGAGCTAGGTGAGCCCCATCCTCCTTGAGGACCACAGACGCTGGTGCAGGGGTCCGAGAGGGTCTGTCACCCAGTGGCTGAGGACGGGCAGTTCACCAGAATTGCTTTGGGCATGACCAGGCACTTTGCAAATACCACTATGAGGCCATCATATATATATCTCTGCTAGTATTAAAATTCTTCAGAATTGTAATTATTATTTGAAATAGCATTTTGGTTACCTTAAGTTTTGAGAGATGATTCTAAAACTGAGCTAGAGACTCATCTGATAGCACCGACCTTCTAAAAACTTTCATTAAGTGAAACTGCCTGTAGGTGAAGTCATAGGTCTGTCAGAACACGCTTCCTCTGCTGATTGCTGTGGGACTTGTCATCCTTAGAGGCTCCAGAGTGGCCATGATGTTTTAAGTGTGCTCTTTTATTAAATGCTTGTTTTGTAATTCAGTACAGAGTTTAACCTTGTAATGTACATTTTTGTATGTCAACGGTCTTTTAAGTAGCCTTATCTTTATTTAAATAAAAAGAGTAAAATTACTGAATAGGTCTATCATTCATAACAAAAATAAAATGTAAAAACACTGTAGTGATTTGATCTTTTTTTTTTTTTTTTACTATATAGAAACTTGTTTATTCCTTATAGTACAGCCTTCTGTACCTGGATTGACTTCTCAGGTCTGGTGCCAATAGCCTGGCTGCGTCTTGGGCCTGCGGGAGGGGCTGAGTAGGGGTCCTTGGGGCTGCCCGCTGGTGGCCCCTGCGCTTCCAGGGATGGGGCCGCCAGCCCTCATGTGTGTCCTCGGTCAGCTGTCCTGGCAAACGCAGACTGACCAGAGGTTCAGCTGAGGGGTGATTTGTTTTTGGAGTAATCTTGAAAAAGTTACTTTTTAAATTTTTTTACTGATGTTTTACTGTTGGAGACTGAAGCTCTAAATTAACTAATTAATTTGGAGAAGCCTCAGATCTTTCTTTTTTTCTTTGGTCTGGACAGAAGAGACCAAAAAAATGTCATTTCCATTTAGATTAGTTTTACCAAAGTGCCTTTTGCTGACTGATGTTCTCTGTGCTGTCTGTACTGAACTCAGTTGTCTTCCTTGTGGCAGAAAAGATAAAGATGTGAGTTAGTTAAAATCCTGCTCAGTGGATAGTAGATAATTGTAATGATAGGAAGAAACTCTGCAGTGAAACAGTGAGGGATGCGGGCGGTGAGGAGCGTTAGGGAAGATCCCCCCGGAAGAGATGGTACTTGAAGGGGAGGAGGCTTGGAAAGCTTTCAGGAGAAGAGTCCTGTTTGTTCTGGGGTTCAAAGGACTGTGTGGTCATTGCTGCTCTGCCCATAAAAGGCAAGAGTCTGCGTCCCACTGCTGGGTGTGGAACCAATCGAGTGCTCGCGCTTGGACCCATGCTGCAGCTGCGGGAGAAGCCCACTGGAGAACTGTGTCCCGGCAGTCAGCGTCCCCCAGACCCGACTGTGGGTCACCCTTCTGCACGGCCAACGGAAGCGCCCGCAGCCGACTCGGAATCACAAGGAGCAGAAAGCCCTGGGGTTCTTTGCTCCCAGCCGTGGATGACTCAGTCGCCAGCCAGGGGTTCTGCAGAGTGGACAGGGTCTCATGGCAGAAAGGCCGCTGTGGCTTAGATCAGTGAGAGCAGGGAGCCTATTATGAAATTACCCAGAAATCAGGGGTGGGGTGGGAGGGGGCAGGGGCCAGATAACCTAGGATTTACACAGCTGTGTAGGAATTAGAATTTGATTCTAAGAGTAACTGGAAGCTGTTAACTGTGTCCAGCCTTAACTAAGCATTCAGTTTAATCAAAGGACAGAAATAAGACTAGTTCAGTAAGTACATAATAGCTCTATACATTTTTTCTAGTAAAAACTATTGATCTTTTTTAAGCATATTTGAATTTATATATATATTTTTTAAGGCTAATAATTAAAGCTTTTGTTGTTGCTGTTTGGTTGCTAAGTCCTGTCCAATGCTTTGCAACCCTGTAACCTGCCAGGCTCCTATGCATGGGATTTCCTAGGCAATAATATGGGAGTGGGTTACCATTTCTTCCTCCAGGGGATCTTCCTGACCCAGGCATTGAACCTGCGTAGCATGCGTAATCTCAATTCCCTGAGCAGGGATTGAACCGATGGCACCTGGAGGGGGGACGTGGATGTGCAGTCTTAACCAATGGACTGTCAGGGAAGTCCCATAAAGTGTTGTTTATACTCAGAACCTGCATGTTTCATCACCAGATCACACACTGCGCCTGGCTAAAGATTTTGCCCTGGATACCTTTATTGTAAGCCATGTCTTGCTTTCAGCCCCACAGGACAGGAAGTTACACCAGAAGTACCAACTCACTACCTTACGGTAATTCAGAAACACAAGTTTGTGACAAATTGATTGCACTTAAATATGCGTGAAAGAAACATTTATAAAGATATCAGTCAAAAGGATTTTTACACTCGGATTGGTCTCACTTGATTACAGAAAGTCAAAGCCCTTTCCTGCCTAAGGTTCCCATGAGTTTTCTCCTTCCCAAGCACAGAGTGTGGATTAAAGGACTTAAAACAGGTGAGGATCGCTGAGAAGCGCAGAGGGAAAGTCCCGCAGTGGCCAGGGCACCGGGTTGCAGCATTGCCCAGTGGAGGCAGAGGAAGCAAAGAGCGTCTGCGTGCAGCATGAGCAGGGACCTGGGTGGGTGGGGGAGTCGGAAGCGGGGTCGCTCAGATGTCCTTCCCGCAGTCGGGGCACAGGATGTCGTCCCTCTCCGTGAGGAAGCCTCGGCCCACCAGCGACAGCGAGCACTTCTTGCAGTTGAAGCAGTCGTTGTGCCACTGCCGTTCCTCGAAGGAGATGTACTTGGTACCACCCAGGCCTGCGGAGGCAGGAGGAAGACCAGGTGAAGATGGGGAGGGAGCCGCGCGGCCTGGCTCCCGCACTGTGGACAGTGTGAGCTGCTTACAACCTCGAGAGGCTGGACTCCGCGTTTAAACCAGATTCCATGCTCAGGCTGGGGAGCTCCTGAGCCTCAGAAAAATATGACGGGCTCCAACACTACGTGGTCATAACTCATCATGAGACTCCTGCTGTGTGTGTGTATTCCTCCTACTATGCGTCTGGGAACTGATTTCTGTTACTCCTTCATTGCGCACCTCAAGTCTGGTGCGCAAAAGTTTCTCCATGCAAAGAATGAGGGAGAACAGAGGTGGAACATGGCCTCACGGAGGAGACGCTGCGTGGGCCGGGATGCAGGGATGGACTCTCCTGCACAGGGTGGTGGAAGCCGAGAGTGGATTAGGAGGACGTGTGCAGAGAAAACTATCCTTTACTGAAACAACAGGACCTCGTTTCAGCTAACACCGGACACCCGCAGGGAGGGGCGGGGTGATGCAGGCCCGGATAGAACACTCACCGCTGATGGGGTTGGCGCAGCCGGCGCACTTCTTGGCGTACAGGTCGCAGAAGCAGCCCAGGCAGTAGGCGAACTCGTCGCGGGACGTGAAGCGCTGGCCCGACAGGGGCTTCTTGCAGGCGGTGCACACGAAGCACTCGCGATGCCAGGGCTGCTCCCGGTACGTGACGCCCCCGGTGGTGATGGGCTGCAGGCAGAGGGACCTCAGCTCCCACAGCGCCCACACCTCTGCAGGACGCGCGGCCCTTGCCCCAGACACGCTCTCCAGACAGAAGGGCACCCCCGCCACCCCGTCCCAAGCTGCCGGGCCTCCACCGCAGACCTGGCTCCCCGTCTGTGACAGGGGTACCAGGGTATCTGCCCGGGGAAAGCGCCGCCTCCTGGCTGGCAGAAGGGCAAAGCCGGAGACTGCGGCTCCGTCGAGGATGGGGTGTCACCCGCCACCCTCGGTAGCCCCGCCCCTTGGTAACCACGCCCCTCGGCAGCCCCACCTGCGGGCAGGTCCCTGTGAGCATCTCTCTACCTCCAGGGGCACCTCCTCCTACAGTCTATTCAGCTACTCGGGCGTTAGAAGGAAGAGCCTTAACAGACACCTGGGGTTGGCACCACTGTGGAACCGGCTTCTTGGAAGGTGTGGAAAAGAAGCCCAGGGCCTGCCTCCCTACCGTGTCTAGTGGTGTTAGGACACAGCCCTGGACAGTATGATGAGGGGTCTGCTTCCACCCACCCCACCCACACCCCCGGGAGACCTTTCCAGTTTCCTTGTCTCCTCCCTGGCCCGGTCCAGGGCTGGTTCCTTATTTATTCAAGGAGAGCGGTGAGCGGAGAGACCTTGGGGACGGGCGGACGCTGTTGAGGAAAGGACACCAGACAGACACAGGCCGGGTGAGTGAGAGGTACCTTCTTGCACTGCACGCACTGCAGGGCATACTGCCTCTCATAGCAGGGCACGCAGAAGTTCTCGCTGTCCTTGGGGATGAAGCTCTTGGTTCCGATGGGCTGCTGGCAGCGGTGGCAGATGAAGCAGGTCTCGTGCCAGCTGCTGCCCTTGTACTCCATCTTGCGGGTGCCTGTCGGGGGTCAGGGAGACAGGAGCTGAGTTGTTACTGACCACCCGGGAGGCCCAGCGGCCGGTGCTGAGAACCTGCCGCCCTCCTGTCCTGGGACTCGCGTAGAGTCACTTCAGCTCGGAAGGCTTGCCTCTCAACCGGCAGCTTTCCTATTTAGTCGGTTCACAGCCACACACCTGGCTTCTGGAACAGAATCTGTACATAGTCAATACTTTACGTGTTGAACAGGACGATTATGAACATTAAGTGGAAAAAATACTTGCCTTTCAGCTCATGAAATACTAATAGACACCTGGCACAGCTCAGATTCATCCTTGGGGAATATGAATCTGGAGCACAGGGACCAGAGGATGAACACCCGTCTGGTTCCCAGTAGGATGGAAACGGGCAGGTGTAAGTGAACCTGTAGTCTAACGCTTGCTTCAGGGAGGAGCCTTAGTATCTCTCACATGCATGATGCAGCCGGCTGTGTAGACTGAGCTGTGATGAATCTTAGTGGTTAAAACTCACCTGCCTCACTTGTACTTCCATTTAACAATTTTCTGATCTTACCTCATGATATTCCATTTCCTTCCGAAAAAAGTGCTATCAGCTGAGAGGTTTACATCATTCCTCAAGCAGACCAGAAATCCTTGAGAAAACGCTGTTGATTCACCCCTCCCCAACCACCAGGTTTGATTCACAGCAAGGAGAGCTGTATTTGTTTGGATTTCTTCCCCATATTTGCCAAAAAAAAGAGCATGTATCTGTTTATAGAAAGAGATGGTTTAAGTAAGAGAAACATGTATGCGATCTCCCTTTGTGAAGTACTACAGAATTTGCAGGCTTCCCAGGTGGCGCTAGTGGTAAAGAACTGCTTCCCAATGCAGGAGACACTGGGGTTTGATCCTTGGGTCAGGAAGATCCCCTAGAGGAGGAAATGGCAACCCACTCTAGTATTCTTGCCTGGAGAATCCCCAGGGACAGAGGAGCCTGGGGGGCTACAGTCCATGGGGTCACAAAGAGTCGGATGTGACTGAAGCGACTTAGCAAGCACTTAGCATGCACGCAAGGAAGGACTTAGGGAGAAGGAGCTTCTTGGGTGAAGAAACAGAAGCATTCCTGATACTTGGGCAGCTCAGGGGCAGACCGGACTCTGTGGGTCATCACCAAGGTCTTCCCAGACATAGCCGCAACCCACCTGCTGGCTCATCCTCATCCATGGATGTTGTTTTGTGGTTCTTTCCACTCTAGCCACCCCCTGAGCTCACCTGAAGGACGGAGCCTACAGATGAATATATGAGTCAGACTGAACTCAGATCAGGGAGCAAGGAGGGAGGCGGCTCTGGAGGTGGGGTGAGGAGGCTTTGTGTTGGGACGCAGGCATTGGGTAACTAGTTTTTAGCACTAAGATTGAAATAATATTTGAAATGACAGTCAGTGGGCCAAATTGTAGCTGGCTGGAAAGGAGCTGAGCATCGCTCCAGAATCATGGCCTGCTTGTTTTAGCAGGCGTCATTTTTTCAGGATCATTTTCTCAGCTTCCTGGCCTTTTAGACCCCAGGCACCACCTTCCAGAAAGAGTACAAAACACTCAGAGTGTGTGTGCAGGAGGTAGGGGGCACATGGTAATCTTCAAAACTATGTGATTAAATTGTGAGGCAATGAATCCTGAAAATGGGGAAAATTACATCAAGCAATTAAATTTCAGGTAAAAGTGGTGGAGGGACTTTGCTGTAAATTCTAGAACCAAAATCTCCTTTGGTCTCTGGGATTTTAATTTCCCATGTACACCTCTGACACTGGTTCTTTTAACATCTGACCTTCCCTCTGGTCAGACACCAAAGAATTTGTCCATAAATATCCAATGATTGTGAGTCTCACTAAAGCCCTCAAACCAGACCACACATGCCTTCCGCATGTTCAGAATGAGCCTTCTGTCCACCCTGGAGCTCGGGGAGATGTCCAGTCCTAGGTCCCAGGTCCCAGGTCCCAGGTCGGGCACCCCCAGACCTGGTGCAGGACCTTGTGGTCCTTGTGCAGGGTCACCAGCAGGGGGCGGCAAAGCTCCTCCTTCTAAGGACCTGCAGCAGAGGAGGAGCCAGGGGACCAAGTCCCCCTCCTGAAGGAAGGGGTGTCTTTCTGATTCAAAGGAGCAAGTGAGGAACCTGAAAACCTGTGAAGGACTGGCAACATCAGGAGGCTGCCTGGAGGCCGTGGTGCACCTTCGAGCCAGGGCTCAGCATCCCTGCGTGGGCTCGGGAGCCTCGTACCTGGGGTTGGTGACTCACAGCTGTGGGTGCCAAGTGGGGACGCCTGTTCTCTTTATCCAAGTTCACTGCAGAAGCCACACTGTCAGTCTGCATTCCTCTCATCTTGATTTAGTTATAGCACTTTTGAAAATCAAACCAAGGACGGAAGCTAGCTAGCACTCTGATCTAGTTTTGTGGGATTTTTTCTGTTTTTTTTCTTTTAAGTGTCTAGTACTTGTTTTATCTTTGCAGGTCTTTTTTTTTTTTTTGGCACTGCCTCTGGTGCGTGGTCCATTTCCTCTGCCAGATCTGCCCTCCTCTGACTTCTCCATCTGCTGAAATCAGGTCGACCTTGAGACTGCTCAAAGGTCATGTCCCCAAGGGCCCCTTTCCTGGCTGCCCTGCTCTGGCCTAGTGCCTCCATTACAGGAGATACCACCCAGGCTTCTCCTAAAAACCCCAACAGCAGAGATGGTGAGATGCATGTCCCTGGGGAGAAAGCAGGGTGGAGGGAGGGGGAAGCAGTCCTCAGAGACCAGCCTGCCAGAATCAAGAATTGTCTTGGTGGCCTCAGGAATTTTAGGAAAAATTCACCTCTTACTCTAAGGTATATTTGTCTTTGTCAAAATGGCAGTGAACATTTTTCTTCCTAATCTGAACCGCTGCCCTGGGAAGCTGTGTCTTTCCCCACATGCATGGCCCTGGCTTGGGTCCCGGCAGCTGGGCATCCCCTGGGTCAGTCTTCTTGCAGAGTCAGGAGCCTGACTCTAAATGATCCCGGCAGCCTAAGTTCTCTGCATGTGTCGGAGCAATCCCGGCCACTGTGTGGACTAGCATGACTGCAGGACACCTAAGTTTCTACAAGCTGACATTCATTCTACTGAAGTTGAAAATTCAAAATCCTCCCTCGAACTTCATCCTGCACATCTTATCAGTGTGTTCATGGATACAGCACATTTAAAAAATCACTTTTAAGGGGCATGACTTTATGTTTGGTTCCATTCACCAATGTAGTGAAGTCCTTTAAAAGGACACTTAGGATTTAATGATCCAGATGCTGGAAAAGATTGCAGGCAAGTGGAGAAGGGGGCAACAGAGGATGAGATGCTTGGATGGCATCACCAAGTTAATGGACATGAGTCTGAGCAAACTCCAGGAGATGGTAAAGGACAGAGAAGCCTGGCATGCTGCAGTCCATGGGGTTGCAAAGAGTCAGACAGGACTTAGCGACTAAACAACAAAATTTAGTGTATTTGATATCTGTTCTAAGTTCGATGCCAAGGAGGACTTTGGCAAACTGGACCTCAAGTTCTTGAGTAATTGTTGATGAAGTGAGCTAAATATATAAATACAGTGGACAGATAATGATGGACAAACATTGACCATTATTCACAGCCTCAAAAACTAAGGTATCTTAAATGTCAAAAACATTTACTGATTAAGAAAATCCCCATATAAAACCACAAACCTAAATCACTTAATTGCACACTTTTAGTTAGAATAAAAAAATTAATTTACTCTTGGAGACCAATTTTTTTTTCTAAACTTCACTCATGCTTTATCAGATTATTTAACACAATATTATTGCTGTGGGTTGGATTCCCTTGATAAGTGAGTGTGCCCTTAATTCTAAAGCTTCCCAGGACTGAAGGAAGCACATCCTCTAAGACACTGTCCTGAGGACAGACACTTTCTTGAGCAATTTGAGAGCTCCCCAGGCAGCAGCATCCAGCTTCCCAAGAGCTGGGGACCCTAGACCTATGCCCTGCTCCCACCACCCTGAGCCTGGTTTGGGGGCCACACCCCAGAAGACAGTCAAAGGACAGAGCCCTCTCTTGATTTTATGTGGCTCTCTGGCAGAGATGCCAGATTAATGAAGTCTCAGGTGGGATCGGCTGAAATTCCAATTTACCTGGGAGTCCTGTATTTTATTCACTATGTCTGGTGAGGTTACTGCCCAGTCGCCCCTTACTGGTCATACAGAGGACATCACTGGACCCTACGTGGCCGATGAACTATCCAGGATCCAGATCTTCGGTTCTTCTTGACCTCGCTTTGCGTGTCTAACAAGATTCATTTTTTGCATACTGTGTTGAAAAATTTCATATAGCATTTTTGTCCATTCTATTCTTTAGAAGAAGATTCCTGTCTCCCATAAAGCAAAGATTCCCCACCCCCCACCAGAAGCAAGGGACACAGTCCCATCTTCCCCCATCAACAGACAGGTCATCCATCACCGGCCACTAGACCCAGCTGCGGTCAAGTCTGCCAGGATGTCACCCGCATGGGGTGCAGCACCCAGCTCCCAGCTCCAGGTCCAGCACGAGTGTGCGGGGGTGGGGGGGGCGTGGGCAGGGATTGGGGGGTTAGGGCTTGGGGACTTGGCGCCCACCTGGCATGATGCTCTTCTTGCACTCCTGGCATCGCGACGAGTACTCCTGAGAGTAGCACTCAGCGCAGAGCAGCTGGTCCTCCTTGGCAGCGAATGGCTTGTCCACCAGGGAGCCCCGGCACCGCGAGCAGTGGAAACAGGCCTCGTGCCAATGCCGGTCCTTGTAAGACAAGTCCTGCAGACCCGGAGCCGAGAGACGGAGACGTGAGAGGGACCGGGGCAGGGAAACGGAACTCGAGGGGTGGAACGGGTCAGGGTGGGGTACGTCTGTAGCTCCTCTCCAAGCCACTGTTTAGAAGCTTCTGAAAAACAGGTAGCTTTCCCTGGGAACGGTCTGTAAGAAACAGAAGCTGCACAGGAAACTCATCAGTGCTTCTCCTGGACACACAGACCGTGGGCGCCCACTGGCCACAGCACGCGAGGTAAACCCAACCAGGCCCGAGGGGGTGGTTGTGATTCCCTGGGGAGGGAGGCTGGGCTGCGGGAACCTCAGAGACAGAGCCTGGGGTGGGGGTCCTGGGTCAATCTGGAGAAGGCGGGTAGAATACGTCCAGGAGGTGCCACCAGCTGAACATTAAAGACCAGAGGATGCGTGAGCTGGGCAGAGAAACGGCACAGACCGGAAGGGCCAGGCCGAGGGGTGCCGGCTGGGAGGGTTCCCACCGGGCTGGACCAGGAGGCCAGATGAATGTATCCAGGTGAGTGCAGTTCAGCTCTGTCTTTGAGAATTTGAATAAAGTCAACAAACCATCTAAAGTCCTGTCCACTGAGGAGAGTGATCAGCCTAATTAAAGACGAGTTGGGGTTTGGATCATGTGGTCACTGTTGTAATGCTGATAATGGAATAAATGCATTTAACAATTTTTTTTTTTTTTGGTATGGAGAACAGTATGACAGGCAGTCCCTCAAAAAATTAAACAGAGAATTACCCCATGACCCAGCAATTCTACTTCTGGGTACATGTCCCAAAGAATTGAAAGCAGGAATCTGTAGACCCAGACTCACAGAAGCCAAAAGGTGGAAGCCACTGAAGTGTCCATCGCAGAGTGGACAGATAGTGATGGACAAACATGGACCCTTATTCACAGCCTCAAAAACGAAAGAAATTCTGACACACACTGCGTGCGTGTGTGCTAAGCTGACTCTGCACCACCGTGGACTGTAGCCCACCAGGCTCCTCTGTCCATGGGATTTCCCAGGCAAGAATACTGAAGTGAGTTGCCATTCCCTTTTCCAGGGGATCTTCCTGACCCCAGGGATCAAACCTGGGTCTCCTGTATTGCAGGCAGATTCTCTATCAACTGAACCACCAAGAAAGCCCTCGTGACACTAGAAAGTTCCCTCTAAATCTGATACTATGCCCTGTCCTGACTAGATCCTCCAGAGGGAGGTCCAGCTCCTGGCCTCCACCCTCGTGAGGCTGTTGGTCATTTGGTTGCTCGCTATCCTGAGTCCCACATCCTGCATTCAAGGGAGGGACTGCTCACACCCTGGCTAAGGCATGGCCCTCCAGGCTGGTGACAGCAGCTGCCTGGAACCTTTCCCCCTCATCCCACACCCACCCTGGGGGGCTGGTCACCATCCTGCCGAGATTCCTGCTGAGCTGAGTCACCGGCCGTCCCTTCCCTGGGGCATCCTCTCCCCTCTGCGCAGCTGCTCCCTCTGTCTGCCCTCTCTTGCACGCGCACACACACACACGCACACACACACACACACACGCACACACACACACACGTTTCTGCATTAACACACAGCAGCCCTGAACTGTTCATTCAAAGACATTTGATAATTCTTAAACCTTCTGACAAAAATGTTTTTCTTGAAGATAAATACCAATCTACGCCCACACTCTCAGAGACCATGGTGAGTCACAACTCTCTCTGAACAAGCTGGCATCACCATCAGTGGGGCGGGGAGGGGGGTGGGCTGAGGTGGGACGACAGCTCATCCACCCCTGTTCCAGTTGCCATCAGCGGCGACCGCCGAGGACACCTGACGTGCAGGCAGGTGGGAAACGTGGAGTCACCGCCTTGCACACCTGCCCTGCCACTAGCACCCTTGGGGACCCTGGGAGCACGTGTCTAAAAGGCCTGATGTATTCACCCAAGCGATTAAACTTGAAGGCTCCAGACTCAGGTCCTGGCTCTGCCACAAACCTGCTGCATGGTGGGGGGTAAGGGGGTGCTGGGTGGAGAGGGGTCAGTCACCTGACCCCTTCCAGCCTCAGACGCCACCCGTGAAGCAGAGATGATGGTGAAGAGTTGACCACAGTCCTGGCACATCGTAACTGCTCGGCTAACGGTCTTCGATCCCAGCTCATGGTGACAGCAGGTGCCCTGAAGCGTCACCTGCTGGGGTCGCCTTTACTCATGAGACGCGGATGGAGTCCACACCCTCCTCTAAGAGCACCAGGTCCCTGGGCTCAGTCAGTACTCTGTACAGCGCTTGCAGCCTCTGCGGCCCTGCTAACTCTAAAATTCCTTTAGTCCCCTCTTGTTTTGAGCCACACAGTGACCCCATGGAATAAGGTTTTATTCCTACTTTATGGGTGAGCAAGTTTAACAGAATGATGCTAAGATGCTGTGAACCCGGTCCCTTGCATCCCTCTTCCTGGTCTGCATCTGGCAGGGCGCAGACCTTTACCGGGCCTGGCAGCATCTTTACAAGCAGGCCCCAGCGTGCTCGCCCAGACTCACCTTCTGCCCCAGCCTCCTCTCTGCGGCGCTCCCCTCTGCCCCGCCCATACCCTGGCTTGCGCTGTCCTGGCCTCCGAAGGCCCTCGCCCTCATCCCCCTCGGCTATGAGGCCCGGCTAGACACCAGTTGCTCCATGATGCCTGTGTGGCCAGCAGTGATGCTGGCCCTGCGAGAAGGCGTACCACCCCCACGGGCGTGCCTGGAAGAGCCCGCATCCTGCAGCTTGCTCAGGGCGCCTGTGGGAAGCCCCACCTGAGGCTGTGCCTGCAGCTCCCTGGGAATCCTCCTCCGCTCCTGCCGTCCGCACATGTCAGTCTGAGTCAAGTTGACACTTCGTGTCCCCACCTCCTCTGGACTCCCTTCTGTGGGAAAGCCCACTCTGCACCGGCGCCAAGGTGGGAAAAGGCCGCTGGCTTTGCTGGCACGGGGCTCGTGGGGCTAGACTAGAAATCGGCACCGGAAGGCCAAGGCATCTGGTCTGGTTAGGTACTCCGACCTGGTGCCTGAATCAGGCTGACGCCTGCTCTAAACGTGTGTCTGTAAACTGGGTTCTGAGTAACTCTTCTCACCGCTGGCATTCGCTGCTCCAAAAGGAGTTTCAGTCTTGTAGTACCGCTGAATTCTGTTGTGTGTCAAGCCTATCGGGCGGTCCCCAGAGACACCACTGAGATGCCAGAGGTTCAAGGCTGAGAAGTAGGGGCTCGCTGACTAACTTTCAAGAACTTTGAAACATCCTAGAAAATGCCCCTGTTTTAAGGTTTTCTAGAGAGCGCGCATGAAGGGGCAAAAAAGAAAGGAAGAAAAAAAAAATCTTCAGCACATCCCAGAAAAACTAACAAGGCTAATCGTGTGCACATAGAATGTCATAAATTGCTGTAAAATGTTTGATAAACAATGTAAGATTAGGTGCAAACACTTCCTTTTCAATTTTCCATGTTTCCATTTCAGAGACACTCCTAACGTGGGAAGGGCTTGTGGCTTTGCTCTGCCCTTGTTGAGGCCTCGGCTGAGCCGTGGGTGGAGTCAGTGGCCTGGAGGGACCCCGAAGCCCCCCAGTTAACGGGGGCAGCCCAGAGCAGCAGGGTCACTTGCTGTCCTCTGCCCCCCTGTCTGTCTCTCCCGGGCTGGGACAGGCTCAGCTGCTGATTCCCAAGCTAACCAGTCCTCAGACCTGCAGGACCCCGTCGTATCGGTAGGCATACCACGTCATTCGTGCTCAGCACTTTGCAAAGATGTTCCATGCTTTGTGTCAGTCAGGCCACCATGTTCCCATCCGTCTGGTCGTTCAAATCCTTGAAGAAAGACTCTGGCAGAAACCCTGGCACTTACCCTGTTGCCAGGCTCAGGGTTCACTTCCTGAAAGGCAGGCACGTTTCTCCTGCCATCACTTTCTCCACAAAGCCAACTTCATAATTATTTCCAAAAGCCAAGAAAACTGTTCCAAATATTCCAAACCCCACATGCCAAGGTCTAACTGCAAGTTCACCTCTTTGTTTCCTTCCCAAATGCACAGAATCACATGCTGAGACTCCACAGTGGACCGTTACCCAGGTTGAAAAGTTCAGCGTGATTGACTGAACAGCAGTCTTGACTCTGCAGCAGTCTTGTTGATTTTGGCCGCTTTGGGGGGATTCTTGTTTATTTACTCCTAAAGCATGTGCGGAAGGATAAGAAGTTTCAAGGGCCTGCCCACTAAATCACACTGAAGAAATGATCAGTGACCTTAGTTTTGTTTTCACGTTAGCTCCCAGCCAAGGATGACTAGCCCCAAATCTCCAAAACATCTCCTTCAAACCAGAGTTGATAAATCAGAAAAAGACAAATATCATATATGAATGCATATATGTGGACTCTAGAAAGATGGTACTGGCGGACCTATTTGCAGGGCAGGAGTGAAGACGCAGATGTAGAAAGCAGATCTGTGGCCACGGAGTGGGGAAAAGGAGTGTGGGATGCACTGGGAGATTGGGATTGACATGGATACACGACCATGTGTAAAACAGAGAGCTAGCGGGAAGATGCTATATGGCACAGGGAGCTTGGCGAGGTGCTCTGGGACGACCTAGAGGAGCAGGATGTGGAGGTGGGAGGGAGGCTGAAGAGCGAGGGGACAGATGTATACATTTAGCTGACTCACTTCCTTGTACCCAAAAACCAACACAACACTATAAAGCAATTATGCTCCAAAAGACCCCCCAAACCCCAGAGCTGTTCTCTGTCAGAATGGTATCTGAAATGCTCACCGACTCACATCTTTTCCAGGGAGAGCCTTTAGAAAATAATAAGTTTTTCTCTGCCTATTAGTTCTCCCTCAAAGCAGACGTTCTTACTGATATTTCTCCAGTGAAAACTGATAGGGTGAAGCTTCAGGAGGCCTGGGGAGGGGCTGAGCTGCTGAAAGAACAGGGGCGCAGTCGGCAGAGAAGAGGGGCAGGCATTCATACTGCCAGCACCTGCTCCCTGGGCTTCCCAGGTCACGCGAGTGGTAAAGAACCCAGCTGCCTATGCAGGAGACATAAGAGACTTGGGTTTGAGCCCTGGGTGGGAAAGATCCCCTGGAGAAGGAAATGGCAACGCACTCCAGTATTCTTGCCTGGGAAATCGCATGGACAGAGGGGCCTGGCAGGCTACCGTCCATGGAGACGCAAAGAGCCGGACACGTCTGAACACACACACGCAGCTGCTCTTTAGAACTCTGGCTGCTTCGTCGCTGCACATGTGAGAACCCACGGCCCAGGCTCCCTCGTCGTCGCTCCGCTTTGTAAACATGTAGACGGGCACTGAGGGAGTCAAGACGTGGGCCTGAGATCACACAGCCTGTGAGACACAGGGCCAGGCTGGAATGGGGCAACTCGGGGTCCGAGCTCTCCCGCTTGGCCTGGAGACGAATGCCGAGGGACTCAGACACACATCCCCCCAGAGCTGGAGGTCGGAGGGCCGGCAGCTTTCAGGTGAGCAAGACCAGCTGCTTTTGCTCCTGGTTGAAGCCAAAGCTCCGGTTGTTTGGAGGTTCCCCATGTCCCTTCCTCTCAGAACGCACCCTGCTCTGAAGCCAGGACACGTCGTGACTGCATCTCAGGCTGCAGCGGCTGGCATCCCACACCCCTTGTCTCTGCTCAAGGCAAAGTTTGCCTTCCCCACCAGATGGAAATTACTCCTAGACTGTTACTAAACACACAGAGACAGAAGCTGGTGTGAGACCAGCTGCTCACCGCCTGCCCTCGGAAGGATGAGATGCAAGATAGACGCAGGGTAGACGCGCAGTAGAGCCAGCTGCACCCGCTCAGCCAGTAGCTACACAAGCTGACCCTCCCCACGAAGACCAGAAGCTCCCCGGATGCCCCCGGGCAGCCAGAGCCTCGGAAACCCTCCACCCAAGGGGCGGGCACTGGGTCGCCTACGCCACACTCACTTCGCAAATATTGACCTCGCACACCTGCCCTGTGACTCAGCCCAGGAGGAGAGCTGGGAGCCTCAGGGAAGCAAAGGATTGGGCAGCAGGTGTCTGGTTAGATAAGGATGCTGACCTGGAGCCATCAGAAGTGTACCTGGGACGCCAGGCGCGCATGTTCCGGAAAGTCTTGAGCAGGTGCGACTGGGAGGGGGCAGAGACCAAGCCTGCAGGGGGAGGCTAGAAGGGCTCACGCAGGGTCCCAGCCCAGCAGAATGGGGCTCGGGAGTGCTCAAGGTGATGGGGACCAGGACTTGAGTGCAAACTATGCAGAGTAACATGGGGAGCTGATGTGGGGCCCAGGGAAGCTGAGGGGTAAGGGAGGATGGGGAGCACGGGGGGACCCCCCAAGGGGCTGGGGTACCTTGCAGTCACAGCCGATCAACTTCCCGCACTCCTCACAGGTGCTGGCGAACAGGGCCTCGAAGCAGGCCACACAGTAGGGCTGCTCCTCCCGAAGTACATACTTCCTGCCAAAGAGCGAGTCCTCGCAGTGGTGGCAGTCAAAGCGCTCCGTCATCTTGGCCCCGGATGCCTGTCACCTGCCAGGGAGGAGAGAAGGACAGGTTCCAGTGAGCATGCACATGGCACGACTGTCCCCCTCCATCACGGTCACCTTGAGCATCACATTCACCATCGGTGGCTCGTCTCCTGGGTGAGCAGTCGACACTCACCCCTGACACGCCTTGTCATTTTCAACTTTAAAAAAAATTATGTGGGGGCAGTTCTGTGTCTGATGCATTCCGCTTCCCTAGAAGTCCTAGTTCTTGGTGACCATGTCAGGGAAAGTGATCTTGATGTTGGACACAAGACAAGAGTTGGAACCAGAGCCCTCGTCCCCCAGGAGATGCTTGCCCCAGACAGGATGGAACTGCACGTCGCATCATCCCCATCTGCTGCCGCCAGAATAGCTCAGCAGGGACAGAAACAACATGCTCATTTCTATAAAAAGACTTTCCACGCGCTCCTCTATGATTCATGAATTTGAATAAGGAGAGACCACAGAAGCCAGGGGAGGGTCGTCGGAGCTGGAAACCCGAGGCCGAGGGAGCACACTGGCCCCTCCCCGCCACCAGCCAGCAAGCAGGATGCAGGGAAAGGCTGGCTTCCAGGCACAGACAGGGATTATCACAGTAGGAAACTCGGAGACCGAAATCAACCGTCTCCCCAGGCGACACCTCGACTTGCATTTTTCCAGGATGAGTGTGGCATGTGCGTGAGCAGAATGGACTGGGTGGGGATAGAGGGAGGCAGGACCTCCCCTCCTCCTCCTCCCCCAGTGTGGTTCCTGCACCAACATGTCAGAACCACCCCACAAAGAGCCTGTCTACCCTGGGAAGCCCAGGTGTGGAGAAACGCCTCCACGCCATTAGAAACACAGCCCAGCTTCTTCAGAAATAGCTTCTCAGGTGGCAATATTTAATTGACGGAAAAGTGAAAAGCTTTATAAATGATTAAATCTGGAGACAGGTTGACCGCCTAACTCAGAGGGATGTTTCACAAACTGATGAAACTCAATTCGATTTTTGGTCATCTCCACCCACTGAAGAGTGAAATTCCAAAATGATACCCTAGGGTGCAAATAAAATATTGCTGGCTGGTTTACGGTAATAGTGAACTTCACCGTGTTTATTAATTTTGTACTTTGTGTATACAAGATTCTGACGACTGTAAGCAAAGAAACGGACAACTTTCAGGAGTCCATACTTGGTGATTTCTGTGTTTATAGGACAGTCTTTTTTCCCGAAAGTATTAAACTCGCAGCTGGACACATGTGGCAAGATCCATCCCTCTAAATTGCTCTTCCTGGAGTTAAAGAAAACATTGCCGGGATATTCTTGAGATAACATCACAAGATGAGGCTCTTGAGTGATCTTTGTTCTGAAACCCAGTGTATGAATATCACATCTGTCCTAAGGGCATCTCAGGTTTCAGCTGCTAAATTGGCAGGAGACGCCATGCTTTCCTGAAATCCCTGTTACTGGCCTTGAAAGTGGCCACCGTTCAGTTCTTTGCAATTAAGCACCGTCCTTCCAACCTATGGATTTTTCCACAGAGGCCGCCATTTAACTGCAGAATCTTATTTCCTATGCGGGTCACACAAATTTAAGAATAATGACCTGAAGATTTGAAATAAGAACAAGGAAAGGAGATAGGAGTATAAAAAATAAATTTTTAAAATCTGGGAACCACCCAGGAGATTATCTGTTAACACAACTACCTTGTTTTATGGGCTTCCCTGGTGGCTCAGTGGTAAAGAATCCGCCTGCCAATGCACAAGACACAGGAGATTCAGGTTTGATCCCTGGGTGGGGAAGATGCCCTGGAGAAGAAAATGGCAACCCACTGCGGTATTCTTGCCTGGGAAATCGCATGGACAGAGGAGCCTGCTGGCTACAGTCCATTCGCTTGTAAAGAATTGGATATAAGTGAGCAACTAAACAACAACAGCCTCATTTTATGGACGGAAAAAGGGGAAGCCAGGAACACTGATGGAAACAGAAGACTATATGAGCACTGGTTTCCAAACAGCCCTCTCACTTAGAACAAAACAGACTTCCAGTCTGCATGGAAAAGTGGTTCCACGCGGGTTTGGAAGAGCAGCGGCCCTTCTGGGGGAAGGAGACAGGCTGTACCAGTAACCCCCATCGAGAGCCATTCCTGTGCTCCATGAAAGGGGACACTGTTTTCTCCAGGGTATTGCCCCAGCAATGCTCATATGCCTGGGATGTGCTTTCTGCCTCCTCTGACTCCACAGGACTGTGACAGAAGTCATCTAAGACAGTAAACGGTGAGCACACGCAGGGCTCCACGGCGGAGGAAGAGGACCGAGGCGACCCCAGCACAGTGCCCCCATCCTGATACTGACTTTCAGCAGGACGAGTGAGGTCCCCACCTGCCCTCCAGATCCGACGGCCCCCACTTCTGCAGATTGTTTCAGAGGCTGGAGGATCGCTCTCCTACCTCGCTCCTTATCTCCTCTAAGTCACGACAGCTTTATTGACCAGGACAGTGCTTATGCTTAAACCAACAGGTTGGGGTGGAAAGTGAGACCACTGCTAATTAGAAGCAGAGCAGATGGACATGAATCTGAACCCATCTCCAGTGAGTTCCAAGAAGCACAAGCCCTGAGTCTCAGAACAAGCAGCACATGAGCTCCTAGGGAATCTAAGAGGCTCCCTTCTCCTGTAGAGTTTGAAACCAGTTCTTTACTCTAATGCTACCAAACAGAAAATGACACAATTGTGTATCCAGAGTTACACTATCAATCTTAAACCTCTGCTTAATGGGAAAACTTTTAACTATAGTCTTGCATTAGATGTCCCCTACAACTCCACTTTTAAATCTTACAATATGCCTGATTTTTATTTATTTATTTGAATGGGGCTTTCCCTGGTGGCTCAGATGGTAAACAGTCTGCCTGCAATGCAGAAGACTCGGGTTTGACCCTTGGGTCAGGAAGATCCCCTGGAGATGGGAATGGCTACCCCCTCCAGTAATCTTGCCTGGAAAATCCCATGGACAGAGAAGCCTGGCAGGCTACAGTCCAATCTTTTTAAGCCTCTGTTTAATGGGAAAATTTTTAGCTACAGCCTTGCATTAGACACCCCCTATAACTCCATTTTTAAATTTTATAAAATGACTTATTTTTATTTAATTAAATTTTTTTCTTTTTTTTTTTAACTTAAAAAAAATTTTTTTGGGGGGTGCACCACATGGCATGTGGGATCTTATTTCCCAAACTAGGCATCGAACCCATGCCCCCTACATTGGAAGTGCAGAGTCTTAACCAGCGGATCACCAGGAAAGTTCTAAAATGCTTGGTTATTCATTCATTCCAGAGGCATCAGCTGAGCTGGAACTGTGTGAGATGTTATCCAAAATGCTGCAGCTACAAAGATCAGTAAGATACGGGACCTCCCGGAGGGAATTTGTGGTCTAGTGAGAAATGGATGCATGGTGTGTATCAAACAGACTCAGTTCTACGCTCAACACCCTGAGGGAGAGACCTGAAGGGTACCAGGGGAAGCAGCCCCTGAGTCACCCCTCCTGGGAGGGTGGACAGGCTTCCTAAGATGTTACCTGTGCCGGGAAAGAGTTATCCAGGTGATGATGTAGGCAGAGAGCGGAGGCTTGGGAACGGGAATTGGGGTGGGGAGAGCAGACACCCCAGGAAGATGGGAGTGACTCGGGTCACTTCAAGAGCAGTCAAGATGAAGCTGAAGAGATAGCCAGAGGCCAAGGGAAGGAGGGCCTGCGGCCATGACCCTGAACAGACTGGCCCCACAGGCAGTTCGCTGTAGCACGTGAACTCCTCAGCCTGCAGTGAAAGAAGATTTACTGTGTGGAAGCCTGACTTCGCTCTGTGGGGCTGGGGGAGACAAAACCAAGAGGCGGTGACTCTTTCAAAATGTTTTTGGGGTGTCCAAGGCCATTTCTGAATCATTTCCTCAAACAAAACCTGAACATCTTGTTTTGTTTTGTTTTTTACCTAATTATGCACAACTGCTTACCCCTGCCAAAACGCCACATCCCTCCCTGTGGGTTACCTGTCGCTCAGACCATCACCTGTGCCCAGATGCTGACAGCGCAAAGCAGTAGCAGGCAAGGAGACCCTGGACCTCAGGATGACTGCCGACTTGTCCTTCACGAACTGAACCCAGATCCCAGCGTCCGGGAGTTCTTACACCTCCCCCGGGTTAAGTCATCCTCTGATGTCATCCCCCTTCAGCTCTGAACAAGAAGCCGATCATAGGGGACAGGTTTACAGATGTGGCTGCTGGCCCAGCCGACGGTGCTGGGTGTAGACAGTCCTGGGGCAGCTGGCAGGCATGGGGTGGTAGGAGAGAGAGCTTTGATCTGAGTCTCTCCACCTGTGCTGACTCAGGTGTGAGGATGCAGGTTCAGAGAGTGCGTAGGGCTCCCCACAGAAAATGATGACTCTACAAGGTCCACAGGCTTGTACATGTGAGCTATTTTTACCTTTCAGATGTAAGACCCATCAAAGTCAGGGATGGGAGGGGGAGTGTGAGAGCCAGAAGAGAAGAGAAATGAGAAGGGAGGGGAGAGGAAGTGGAGGAGGGAGGGAGGCATTCAGAGCCGGGAAGAACATGCCTCATTTTAAAAAACTTTTCATTTTGTATTGGGGTATAGCCGACCAACAATGTTGTGATAGTTTCCGGTGAACAGTGAAGAAACAGAAATATGATCCAAAAGGATACACACACCCCAGTGTTCACTGCAGCTCTGTTTACAGCAACCAAGACATGGAAGCAACCTGAATATCCACTGAAAGAGAAATGGATAAAGATGTGGTACATATATACAATGGAATATTACTCAGCTGTTAAAAAGAATGCAATCATGCCATCTGCAGCAACATGGATGGGTCTGGAGATAATCACACCGAGTGAAGTAAGTCAGACAGAGAAGTAGAAATATCGTATGACATACCTTATATGTGGAATCTAAAAAGAAATGACACAAATGAACCTACAAAACAAACAGACTCAGGGACTT